TCACTAAATATTTTAATGTCATTATTCATTTGACCCATTTTGCCCTCAAAAGAGAAGGCTAGTTCAGCCAAACTGACGAAAAACCAAATTGAATACAAAATCAATAATTGAAGATTTAATTGACAAAAATTGATAATCAATAATCAATTTGATACTATCGCCATAATCAAAAAATCAAAACGGTAATTAACTCAATAAACGCATACATGGTCCTTATTGGAGTTGCACTTGCCACTTGGCCAGGGATTCTTTTGTAAAGAAGTCCACAATTTACACTTCAAAGATATACATCCCTAGTTAAAAGCCTATAATTTTGGCATGCAATGGTCACTTTCATCCTTGTGATGATAACCACGACGGCAAGGTTCAATTGATCAATTATTGAACCTTATTATTTTAAAAAAAATAAAATTCTCTATACTTAATAAGTGATCTCAAGACTATTTGGTCTAATGGTACCTGAGTTAGACTTCTATTTGAAAGGTTGTGAGTTTGAGCCTCAGTGGAGGCGTTATGAACATATACTACATTGTTATAGAGAGCATAGAGAGCAAGTAGCATTTAAAAAGTGCGTTATGAACATATACTACATTGTTATAGAGAGCAAGTAGCATTTAAAAAGTAAGTTTGAATATTAAGAGCCGTTCATTGTGATTGAAAGTTTGAAACCCCCCTCCCCCTCCTCTAATCTATATAAAATTCTCTATTTTAACTTCCCGCCCAAAAGACTCATATACTATTAATGTTTACATAATATTTTTAAAATATGGTAATACAATTCCTATTCGTACTAAAATTGTACATTAAAATATTGTAATACAATTCCTAATACAATATATTCTTTCCTACTTTCCTATTCCTAATACAATTCTAGATTAAAATTACTAATCGTAATAATAATAATAATAATAATAATAATAATAATAATAATAATAATAATAATAATAAGAGTAAATAGCAGCGGAGGTCCTCTGACTTTGGTGGCATTGCCACTTTTAGTCCTCAACTTTTAAATCTACCACTCTTAGTCCTCTTACTTTTTGTTTCTAGCCATCTATGGTCCTTCCGTTAAACTTGACCATCTAATGCCGTTTTCTCAAGGATAATTCAGTCCTTTCATAATTAATTTATTAATTATTATGTTTGCCGAGTCATACCGAGATATCCCGACGTCGTTTTGGTACAACCTTCATATCAGCTTTTGTACGCCATTTTGATTCACGAGCTGGTTTTGTACACGTCCATAGCTGGGAAACCATTGTTTGATATTCTGATGAGGAAATTAAACATAATAATTAATAAATTAATTATGAAATGACTGAATTATCTTTTAGAAAACGGCATTAGATGATCAAGTTTAACGAAAGGACCATAGATGGCTAGAAACAAAAGTAAGAGGACTAAAAGTGGTTGATTTAAAAGTTGAGGACTAAAAGTGGCAGTGCCACCAAAGTCGGAGGACCTCCGCCGGTATTTACTCATAATAATAATATAATAATAATAATATAATAATAATAATAATAATAATAATAATAATAATAATAATAATAATAATAATAATAATAATAATAATATAATAATAATAATAATAATAATAATAATAATAATATAATAATAATAATAATAATAATAATAATCATCTATACTATAATTAAAAACAAAATCCTATAGTAAAGGTAAAGGTAAATTAAATAAGAATGAAAATAAAAAAGGAACATAAATATTTCACAATAATATTCTACATCATCAATTTAAAATGGAACCAAAAATAGGTAGAGATGGCAACGGGACGGGGCGGGAGCGGGGAGTGTACTCCCCGTCCCCGTCCCCACCCCCAACGGGGAATTGAAAATAGTCCCCATCCCCATCCCCGTCCCCACGGGAAATTAGGCGGGAACAGGGATTCCCCATCCCCGTAAACTCTTAGTTAAAATTTTAAATTTTAAAAATAAAACCTAAGTTTTAATATATATATATATATATATATATATATATATATATATATATATATAATGTAATGTAATGGCCACGGTAATGCCAAGGCAGTACGTAGTACAGTGGCATTTATGGCATTACTTGTTAGGATAGCAATTCATTTCTATAACTGATCAGTTTCTAGAGAACGAGCACATTTGCCTAATTTATAAAAATACTAAACAATGATAAATAAAATCTCCAAAGTTACAGCATCGCATGTGTACATTTACACATTAGTTATTAATTTGAGCAATTAGCTCAAATTCAAGTAACGATAACATCAAAATACATAAATGATCCAAATCATATCTTCAATTGCACTATATAATATTTGAGATTCTAGTTTAAATAATTATATATCGATCTAAATATTCTTAATATATTACAACAAATCCATTCCGTGCATCGCGTGTGTGAAAATACAAGTCTATACTATATCTACTATACTAATTGATATATATATTTAAAAAAACAATTGACTATGATTAAAAATGACACATAAATTAGGCCAATTGAAAAATGAAATGAATATTACTATTTGACTCAAAATTCTAAATGATCACCGATTAACTATTTCAAAAAGAAAACGGATTAATTATAGTATATGTATTATATGGGATATATATGGATCCGAGCTCATTGATTTCCCAAAGAAAATAATAATGCAATGGGCAATGGTCAATTGTATGTGGTTTTTTCCCGAGTCACCCATCCTGATGGTCTAAAGGGTGTTAGCTCTAGACGATGATGAACATGGTTTTGTTTCTACTACCAATGTCGTCTACAAAGAGGTTTTCAATAATGTGTAATTCCAACCAGTGATATTATATTTTCTTTTTATGCGAAAATGACAAACTTGATATATATCTACAAAGAAGAAGAAGAAGAAGAAGAAGAAGAATGTCGGTCCTATTGTTTCTTAAAATGAATGATTCATATTATACTATTGTTTCTTAAAATGAATTGTTCATATTATTTTTATTTTAGTATTTTTTATTGATTTTCCTTATTTACCCTCTATTATATTATTTTCTTCCCTTAAATAACCTAAATTCCGTTAGCATAAATAAACTTTAGTAACGGAATATTCCGTTGAGTATTTATTATTTTAACTTACACATTAATTTCTATAAGAAAAGTCTTAGTTTCGAACCACATCCCAATTAGAGTTGGCATAATTGTTAAACATATACTACGAATATGTTAAAATAGATTTAAAATATATATAATATAAAATTTAACATAAACTTTGTTCAAATAATTAGTCTGACTAAATACATAACATTCAAAGTTAAGCATCAAAGATTATAAATCAAGAACTTTAAAAATTATTTGATCAGAAAAAAACTTAATATTCTTTTAATTATTTAGATCAATAAAAAAACTTAATATTTCAATTATATTTTTGCATTAATATTTTTTGTATGTATTTTTTTTAAAAAAAAATCAATGATTGCATTATCATTGATGAAAAGTATATACGCCACTTTATTACTCTTATTAAACTAAATAAAGTAGTAGCTACAACAAAAAATAATACATATACATTTAATTAATTTAGAATTAGATGTCTATAATGCCTTTATTTAAAAAAAAAAATATTCATTATAAAAAATTTAAAAATAGATATAATTTCATTTTTTTTTAGATTCTAGTGGAAGGGGGTAACCCAAATAAGACCTATACATTCAGAGTGCGCCACACTGGGTAGATATAATTTCATTAGTTATATTATCTTTATTTTCTACAATTCAAAGATTCATTACCTTCAAATTTATCAATTTATTATATTCACTGCATTGTCCATTGTCTTCTTTTTACATTATCTTGTAATTAAATATCAAAGTTATAATACAAAATACATTATATATATTTATTTACCAAGTATTTTATATAAATATAATAAATATTAATATTTTGTTCAATACTTTCACATGGTAACCTACGACACACATCTCACAATGCATGAAACATGTAGGGGAAAACTACTACTACCAAATATCGATTAGAAAATTCAATAAATATTATCTTGCATTTATATATTTTGAATTACCGATTTAAATAAAAAAAAAATTCAATATTTATTTACATATGCATGAACATCTCCGATATGCATGTCCACCTTGCAAGGTGGACACGGTTCCATAGCATAATTTGCCCACTTTATTGCTCTTAAACTAAATAAAGTAGTAGCTACAACAAAAAATAATACATATGCATTTAATTAATTAGAATTAGATGTCTATAATGCCTTTATTTAAAAAAAAAAAAAATTATTCATTATAAAAAATTTAAAAATAGATATAATTTCATTAGTTATATTATCTTTATTTTCTACAATTCAAAGATTCATTACCTTCAAATTTATTAATTTATTATATTCACTGCATTGTTCATTGTCTTCTTTTTACATTATCTAGTAATTAAATATCAAAGTTATAATACAAAATACATTATATATATTTATTTACCAAGTATTTTATACAAATATAATAAATATTAATATTTTGTTCAATACTTTCACATGATAACCTACGATACACATCTCACAATGCATGAAACATGTAGGGGAAAACTACCACTACCAAAAATCGATTAGAAAATTCAATAAATATTATCTTGCATTTATATATTTTGAATTACCGATTTAAATAAACAAATTCAATATTTATTTACATATGTATGAACATCTCCGATATAATATTGTGTTGATATACTTTGAAATACTTATTTAAAAATAATCATTGGGCATTATCTCATTCGCGCAAAGCGCGTAAAAAAACTAGTTCCCTTAATAAAGTTTATATTAACGGAATTTTAGGTTATTTAAAGGAAGAAAATAATATAATAATGGGTAAATAAGAAAAATTATTTTAAAAAAAATACTAAAATCAAAACAATATCAACCATTTGCATTAAAAAAAAAAAAAAAAAAAAAAAACAATATCAACCATTCGAAATAATTACCACAAACATTTTTTAATTTCAGTTAAGGGCCTAATATTATTGGCTCAGGATTGTAGATAGATAATAGGATATGCTAATGTCTTAAATTATTTTACACTTTCACCCTTTACTACTACTACAGTACCACTCCACATCGGAAGTGATTTTACACTTTTATTCTTTACTATTCACATTCCTGTTAAGCTCAATATCATTAATGAATGGCTTTTGATTATCGTCCTCCTCAATTCTCACTCTGCTCTTGTAATGATAGCCCCGAGAAACGTACACAAAATATCCCAAATTCACCACTCCCAAACCCGCAATCACCAAGTAGTAATTCTCCAGTTTTCCGGCGTTGACGTTTTTGGTCAACCAATCGGGCCGGCCGCCGTGAGCGGTGGTTTTGTGCACCACGTTCACTAACACCACGCTCAGGTAACTGGCGCCGGCGGAGGTTATGGAGTAGAGGGAGTTGGCCACGCTGGTCATGCTGTCCGGGAACTCCTTGTTGAAGAACTCAATCTGGCCGATGATGTTGAACGCCTCGGCGAATCCCATGACGATCAGCTGCGGGGCGAGCCACATGACGGTGATGGGGGCGACACCGTCGGCGCCGCCATGCGACACGGCGGCGGCCCGCCGCTTCCTCTCCACTAGTGCCGACACGATCATACCTACGATTAGGAGTGTTAGCGAACAGATCTTTCTATAAACTATTTGTGTTTATGTTCAGTAAGCGTTGGCTTATATTCATTTATTAAAGTAAATGAACATAAGTGAACGAATTTTAAAGCTTGGTTCATAAACAAACAGAGTATGAACAGTTGTAGGCTTGTTTGCTAAGAGCTGGTGAACAAGCTCATTTATGTTAGTTTAATAATGCTTATTGCTTAGGAACATGATCATGAACATGTATATGTGTTTGGTTATTAAGTGTTGATGAACGTGTTCACGAACGTGAATGAACATGTTCGTAAACATGTTCATTAACGAACAGGTTCGTAAACGTGTTCATTAACCAGCATTAAAGAACGCCTAACAATCGAACATGAACAGGATTTTCAAAAACCTTTAACAAACGAATACGAACAAACTATGTTTGTTCATGTTCGGTTAATTAACAGCCCTACCTATGATAGAGAACACGAGTCCGATCCCGATTCTTTGGAGCATTGTTATCCCGCCCTCGATTTTGGTCCTCTTTCGGATGAGCGGCACGAGGAGGCGGTCGTACACGGGGATCCATAGCGCGATGGTGATCATGGAGATGACGAAGAGGGAACCGGAGGGGATTTGGAAGTTGGGGCCGAGATGGCGGTCCATTTTTAGAGCCTGTGACACTGTGAAGGTGCCCTGTTGAGTTACGGCGATTAAGCATACGATTCCGGCTGCCCAGATTGGGATGATTCTCACTAGGCATTTCACTTCTTCCATTTGATGGATGCTTACTAGATTCCAGTTGCTATCAGGTGTTCCATCTGCCTTCAAATCTCCTTCTGTTATCACCGCTGCTTTGTTTAAAAACCTGATCAAATATTATAATTAAACACATTCATATCATATCAAACCTAACAATTATATATATCACTATTATTCCTTCTCTCAAAAGGTTGAATCCCAACTCCGGTCCAATAAAGTATTTGGGAGGATATAAATTAGAGTTTTCAATGACTCAATATACCAGATCAAATGTCGGGTGCGCACAAGAAATTTGCCTATTTTGAACATACTCCTTACACTGTTGCCACCGAAGTTCGAAATTTGGTGTCTTTTCCCAAATAATGTCTCTAACATACATTATTCCTGATTAAATAATTGGGAAATGCCACTTTCTACTGAAATATATGCTTATAATGCATTTTCCTTTTGAATTATTAATGTATCCATATTTGTTCCCTTAATTATTTTAAAAGTGACAAATTTTTTTACTCCCTCCCAGTTAAATAGGCTTTTTAATCGTAAAGAATAAAGACAAAATAGGTATTTCATTTCTTTTTCTTATCCAAACAATTATTGCTTATATGTTAGGATGCAAAAAAAAAAAAAGAAACACCATTTACAAATATTATATTATAATTATAATTTTAACTAATGCTAACAACATAATTATATTAATGCTAGCAATAGAATTAAAACTTAAATACAAATAATTCATTATTGCTAAATTTATGTTTAAATCTTAATTCTGTTACTAACATTAGCTTAAAATCATAATTGTAGTATTTGAAAATAATATTTATTTATTTTTTTTACATTTATTCTGATTCTGAATAATGAACATGACTTGAAGTATCTATTTTGTTCTTATGTTAACCATTCAAATGCTTAGGTAATAATATAGAAGGGAGGGGAAAATGTGACTTTTAAAATAATTGAGATAACAAATATGGATACATGAAGAATTCATCAGAGATAAAAAGGCTAGTAGCATATAATTCGGGAGTAAAAATGAGATTTTCACTTATTTATTAGTTGTAATACTAATAATTTAATTATACCTGCAATCCTTGGTGAGGGGAAGCTTTTTCCCGGCGAGGGATGTAACCGGAGGATCATAATAGCTACTGGTATCATCTGGGAGCTTAACTTTCCTTTTGTTGAACGCCGCTACGAACACCTGAGCAACGCCGGAGAAGACGCTCCCCTGCGGCTTAACGTAAACGTAGACGCGCCTGCCGAGAAAGAACAGCACGATGGAGAGGAGCATGAGCCCCGTGGGGATGCCGAACCCCAGCGCCCAGCTCACGGAGTCTTGGATATACACCACGACTGTCATGGAGAAGATGAGCACCACCATCAAAGAAGTGTAGTACCAGTTGAAGAAGCTGGTGATCCCCTTCCGGCCTTCCTCTGTCGTGGCGTCGAACTGGTCCACGCCGAAGGGGATGCTGCACGGCCGGATTCCGCCGCTGCCGATGGCGAGGAAGCCCAGAGCCAGGAACAGATAACCCATCTGTGAATTTGTCGGGCCTTTGCAGCCCTGCGGTTGGGTTGTGTTGCACGCCGGTGGACGGAGGCTTGGAACCAGGGCTATTATGGTAAATATCAGCATTCCCTGTCCAAATCGTCCACACAATGTTACGTGGATCATAACAAAAAGTACATTATTTTTATACTATATGTACATTATTTTTGTATTGAATGTATATTATTTTATAATATACAAAATATGGTCCATACAACTTAGGTAGATCATGGTCCACACAATAATGATTCGCACTTTAATCTAATTGTTTAGACAGATACATGAGACCGACAGAATCTGGTCTGTTTCACATTGCCACAACTCACATGAATTGGGCTATATAATATTAATCAATTAAGTATTGACTACCAAGTAATAATAATAATAATTTAATATAAACGTTGTTATCGCCTATATATCTTACTTCACATGTCAGCTTTTTCAAGTCTGATTATTAAACAACTTTCGTGACATCTTAACCGTTAGTAGTATGTGATTCACGTCATGATCAAGAGTTTTAATTTGGCATAAGTAGTACACACACGAAAATTGAAAATTAAAAAATAAGATATACGAAATGAGGAAACATGCAAGTTTTATTTTTTAATTAGACTTTAAAATATATTTTAATTACATCCCTAAGAAGCATTTCTTTTTAATTAAGAAACGTTATTTTTAGGTGTTTTATTTTAGAGTACATAAATTTTTTAAAATTAGGGTTAAAGATGATTATGCATATAACTCAATAATTAAGTCTGTAGTACGAGTATAACTGATTGATAAAAATGTAATTTTTTCTAAAAGGTTTTTAAAAGTGTTATAGGAGAGTTGCAAATGACGTGACTTGTGTTGCAATAGAACTTGTACCATGAAATACTCGTTGCAAACGAACAAATCAGTACGAGTATTACTTTAACTTGTTTTGTATTTTTAAAGGAATATGTAACGTGAATAAATAAGGGTAGGGTCACGTGTCCCATGCCAACACCCAACGTAGCGCCTAAGAATTTTATTTGCACAGATCACTAGACCTTAAATAATCATTCTTCTCCTCTAAAAGGTTGAATTCACAATCCAAAGGGCTCCTCACACCTTGACTCAATAAAACATTTAAGATGATTTAAATCATGATGACTCATTAAAATGAAATTTTTTGTACTTGCTGCTCCCAATTTTCCGACTACCGGTGGTCAAAAAATTTGGATCAGTCCGATTGTCCGGTTGGTCATTTTTTCGACAATTTTAAAAAAGTGGTCGAAAATATCAACGAAAATTTTTCTGAATAGCTAAATTGATCAGATATGTGGTTGGGACAGGCGCTTCCGATCGGACTAAGGCCAGTGATCGAAAATCCGTTGATTTCCCACAATGAGAAATCTGCTCACTTTGAGCATAATTCCAACACTATCGCAACCGAGGTTCAAACATTGGTCTCTTCTTCCAAATCATTCTTCTAAAAGGTTGAACCCCAAACCTAAGGGTCCCCGCACCCTGTCCCGATAGAGCATCAGGAGGAACCCACCCAAATCATTCTTCCAAAAAGTTGAACCCCAACCCTAAGGGCCCAAGGAACCCCTCATTTTGAGAGGTAGCCCCTGCACTGTCACTGGTGAGACTCGATCCCTAATCATTCTTTCAAAATTTTACCTCTATTACCAGTTAAGCAGCCCATGCGGGTATCATTCTTCCAAATCATGATTGATTGAATGCATGTGCAGTGTGAACCCACCCAACATCTTTTTCTTCAATGCATTAACCATTTATTGTACCTTTCTTCTCTAGCTAGTCAACTTATAAAGACAATTTGTCATCACCACTTGCTCACCACTCATAAAGACAATTTGGCATTATTCATTTATTATTTCTAACTTTCATCGTTTACGTACCAAGATTTCGAATATGGAGGAGACGGCGATGGTCCAAAACCTGCCCAGGTAAGAATCGGAAATGAAGGCACCCAACAGGGGGATGAAACTTGTGACTCCTGTCCATATGCCCATCATATTTGCAGCTTCAACTAGGTCCAAGTGATACACTGTCAACAAGAAAATTGAGAAGTTTGCTAGTAACCCCACTGATGCTAGCCTCTCAAATGTCTCATTTCCTGCACCCAAAACAAATTGTTAGACATAGTCCACTTGTTAGGCGTTGGCCGATTTCAGCCCCTGCTCGATTCGAGACGTTGTGCCTTATCAGGAGAGATGTTGTTAAATAGTTAATGTTACCTACTTATCACTAATTGATTTTAAGTAGAATATCACAACTAAATAGTCAAAGAATTCAATCAAGATTAATTTAACATTCGGTGGCCTGGGATTGTTGGGCGGAAGCTGGTCAAGGACAACACCAGCGTCTTGAAAATGTGTGACATATAAAGAAATAAAATTATGTCTCTGCTACTAGCGATAACTTTTGGCCTAAGTGGTAACCGCTTGATCTAATAAGTAGTATCAAAATCGACTGGTTGGTGCTGGGAGGAAAAAAATTGTTAAGTCTAGCACAAGATAAAAACGGATGAATATAGGGGAAGAAGACGAAGAATTGAACCTAAGACGTAAGGCATGGCTCTCCATCCGCCAGGCTTTCGTTGGGTGGTGGTCGCCGCAGCTTTCGCGGCCGGCGAAGCCTCGCCGTGGCGTCCATTTTCAGGCGGCGGCGGCGGCGGCGATGAGCGCGGAGAAGAGAGTGGCAAGCTCTTATAAGTACTCCGAGGAGGCCAGGAAGGGCTTCTGTTTTGCTGAAGATTTTCCCCCTCCATTGTTGAAAGTGCTAATAAATGACCCCATACGAGCTCTAGCTGGCTACATTTATACCGCCTTTTCATTGTGGGCCCCAACAACGCCAATAATTATTAGTTTCTGTTTTTTTCTTTTTCTGGGATTGTAATAAACTAATAATAATGATATCTCACTAACACCCATTTACCTAATCAGATTACAATCGTTATGCCATGGAACTTTGTTCACCATCCATGGTGAACATAGTCTCAACAATGTTAGTGCACCGTTATCTTTTCTTTTTTTCTTAATTAATTGCGTGACTTTTCTTCTTATTTTCACATTTCGCAATTTCACTTTAATTTGATGTGAACAATGATTTCGGACATTCATAAATTATGAATCCATATCTGCACATTCACTTTGGAACCATGCCTACACATTCCTGTCCGAAACCATGGCTGCTCCTCTGTAGCGCAAACTTCTTCAACATTCATAAATTATGAATTTTCTGTTATGAAATTATGAATTTGCTGTTATGAGATTATGAATTTTCTGTTATGAGATTATGAATTTACAGTAAATTCATAATCTCATAACAGAAAATTCATAATTTAATAAATATTTTTCTTTTATGCAATTATGAATTTTCTGTTATGAGATTATGAATTTACAGTACATTCATAATCTCATAACAGAAAATTCATAATCTGACCAAACGCACGCCGTTAACACCACATTCGCGAATTTGTTTTTAATGTAAAAACGGCGCCGTTTGGACCCGTGTTCATCATTCATGGTGAACACGTTTCCAGGGCATAATTTACCATCAGATTATGATTGAACTAAAAAACTAATTAATATTAAATTATTATTTCATTTGGATAAAAAAGCTTTCTTTAGAATTTTTAGGGAAAAGTATCCAATCCTTTTAACTTTTGATGAAAAAGCAATTAGGCCATCAAACATTAAAAATGTTTAATTACATACTTAAACTCTTTAAAATTGTGCCATTAAACTAATTTATAAGTAACCAACAGGTTACCAGTAAAAAAAAATTTTTTTAAAATTTTTTATTTTTATTTTTATTTGCTTTTGGCCGGCTGGCCGGCGACCTTTGCAGCCGCCTCCAGCCTCCTTCCGATCTAGAAGGAGGCGGTCATGGCCTCCTTTCGATCTAGAAGGAGGCGGCCGTTGCCTCCTTCCAATTCAGAAGGAGGCTGGAGGCAGCTGCGAAGGTCGCCGCCGGCCGGCCAAAAGCAAATAAAAATATAAATGAAAATAAATAAAATCTATTTTTAAATTTTTTGATGGTAACATGTCGGTTATCTGTAAATTAAGTCTAATTGTATAATTTTAAAGAGTTTAAGTGTGTAATTGAACCTTTTTAATGTTTAAGGGCCTAATTACTTTTTCATCAAAAGTTAAAGGGTCTATCTGACCATTTTCGAATTTTTATAAGATGAGACAAATATCTTTCAATTTAATATAAAGTTGGTGTAAAATTTTAATTAATTGATTAAGAAAATTGATTGTCAAACTAAACAAATTAAATCACTTCCTTTCATATCATAGATTATATCATTATAACTCAATAGGGTAGCTCAAGTGGCAAATGAACTCTCTTTGTGGGGGAGGATTTTAGGGTAACCTGGGTTCAATTTTCACAAGTGACGATTCCCTTTGGGCCAGCTTTTGTGCCTTTCAGAGTGAACCGGGTGGACTGAACCACATTGTGGTTGACACCCAAAAAAAAAAATTATATCACTATATAAATTAAAACATATACATTTTTTTTATTATTCTAGACATAAATAAATAAAAAATATTATTTGTATTTTTGAAAGTGTTATATATATATATATATATATATATATATATATATATATATATATATATATATATATATATATTAGGTTCCTCAACTTACACTAAACTAATCATAAACTTTTAGAACCCATGCCCAAGAACACTGGAAGAGGTAAAAGGAATCTTCATTACCTCCACCCTAACGCTAGGTCAGAGTAAGATTTTCAAGATGACCTTTAGATCATTGAGCTAAGCTCTGCATGATTTTTTAAAATATATATTTCTGTCAAGCAATTTTACATTAATTGACTAGATGAAATATTTTTAAAAATAAATCACCAAAATCAATTATGGCCCGTTTGGTTCACGAAATAGGCTTGGAATGTCATAGTATTCTCAGTAATAGGTCTATTCATTTGTTTGGCAACCGTTTGTATTCCCAAGAATAATATTCCCACTAATAGCCTATTCCCCCAAATAAGGTAATAGTTATTACTGCCCCCCCCCCCCCCCCAGGTATTAACCTATTCCTGAGTCATCAGACATAGATTTTTTATTTTATTTTCACTTTTATCCTTTTCTTAACATATCTTTCTCTCGTCTCTCTGTGCGATTCACCATCTGCGATTCCTTCACCGATTATTTCATTCCCAATAGAATAGCATTCCTATTCCCTCCAAATTGATTCCGTGAACCAAACGGGTCATTATAGTAACACATTAATTAATACGTGTATATATAATATAATTCAAAATATATATTTTATTGCATTTACTCATGTTTGAGAGAACCATGGCTTCTCTTAGGGGTGTAAACGAGCCGAGCTGAGCTCGAGCCTGGGTAGGCTCAAGCTCGAACTCGTTAATGAAGGCTCGCTCGAGTTCGAGCTCGAGCTCAATCGAGCTTGAGAACTGATGCTCGAGCTCGATTTTTCGAACTCAGAGCTCGATCTTGAGCTCGAGTTCGGGCTTGATTTTGACATTGAATTTGACATATTTAATATTTTTGATTTAAAATTCAAGCTACTTTGTTTTATCCATACATAAATAATAGAAATCTTTTAGGGATTTTAAGTTTAAAATTTTAATTTTTAATTGTTATATATATATATATATATATATATATATATATATATATATATATATATATATATATGCCTCGCGAGCGGCTCGACGAACCACGAGCTTAGAATATCTAGGCTCGGCTCGAGCTCGATTACTAAACGAGCAGCTCGAGCTCGATTTTGACCGAGCCGCTCGCGAGCTGCTCGGTTCATTTACACCCCTAGCGTCTCTCATCATATACACACCGTACTCAAGTTAAAAGGACAATTTTACTTACGTCCTTTTATACATGTACTATTTTTTTAAAAAAAAAATTGTGTAAAAATATGCAAACTAATGCTAGTTTTTTTTTTCTTTATTATTATTTGTTGTTGTCGTAGTTTTTTTTTGGCTCTTGATTCCACCTCGTCCCACCTAAACCATGATTTCTGGCTTCATTGGTTCAACAAGTCCCAAGTTCACCAAAATTCAATCTTGAGACCTTCCATATGAAAAGCAACAACCATCAGACCACAATGTGTTGGAAATAATGAACCAAAAGTCGATTTAATATTCCAAAATAGTATTTATATATACACACGAAAATATATAAAATACTATTCGATATATATCCGAAATACACACACACACAGATATATATATATATATATATATATATATATATATATATATATATATATATATATATATATATATATATATATATATATATATATATATAACGAACCCAAAGGTTATATATACATATATATCTATGAAAGAGATATACCAATATATATCAACCAAAATTGGAACTAATAATCCACAGATTATAAATCCAATTCAACGAAAAAACAAATAGAGAGAGGATTTTTGCTTAGAAGCATAATCCAAATTGAAAGAAGAAAAAGATGACTCGTGTTTGGGTATAGGGTTTTTAGAGCGAGTCAAGAGATTACTCTTTCCTTAAAACCTTATTTGCCACCTCCCAAAAGTGCTAGGAGCGTTGTGGCCTAGGTTTCCCAGGATAAAACGTGCTACGGTTTGACGTTTGAGCACCCAAAAGAGTGAACCCGGCGAACTAGAGCAAAAGCCTTGAACACAGTTAGGCAAAGAAAGGAGTAGAAGTAGAGGTTTTGGAGTTGGAAAAACGTGCAAGTGTAGCATTCAAATTTCCATAATAGATGAATTTAATTCTCGTGCGCTACTGCTATCTCTCGGCCTCAGCCAAATCCCCAAGCCTTTTCGCTCTCATTTTGGGATTTGATTTGCACCCCCTGCACGTGAGAGAGCCTCTATGCTATACATTCAATAAACCTCTAAAAGACTCTTGTATAAATAGTGGGGCAAATCCTCTTCCTAAACCAATGTGGGACAAAAACTCACTTTTTCCCATCACTTTTCCAACTCAAATAGGTCTACTTTGAGATTCAATATCTCATTCACCCATTATCCGTTTTGAGCGTACAATATATCAATCTCTTCGTCTCACTACGAAGAACCTGAATCCACTTTGACCCGACCCAAACCAGAAGTGGACCCTACTGATAATTGTACCACAAAATAGCCACTTAAAATGCCTTTTTAATGCTATTTTTCCAACAATTCCCACATGAATGAAAAATTGATTTTCAGGGTATTTTGAAATCGGAAAAAACTGTGTTCAACGGTTGATTCCTGCATAGGATAGGTAGGGATCACTATACCCTTTGAACCTTCCCTTGTGAAGATATGTTTACTCTACTGGCTGTACGGTAGAACGCGAACTGCCGTTTGTGTAGACGATGACATATCTCACACAGGAACCTCCCAACCATGCTCTATTCTCATGAGTGTGCCCATTTTGGTCGTGGGTCACCGTTCCTGGTTCTGTGAGAGTTTCTAAAGAATTGTGCCCATCAATTCTCCTTTGAAGCGACCCTCACTTCTCTCTTACATAGGTGATTCTTTCTCGAGTATCTCGCATACTCACATATGTCATCGGACATTCGAATCATTAAAGAATCAACATGCTAGCCTTGTGCGGGAATCACTATTTCTAACGAGGAGTGGTAGGGAGTCTGAGACCCCCACAGTGACACGCTCCGTTCCATAATTTAGTTGTCCCATTGAACCTAGGTGCGAATTAGGTTGGGTATCTATTATAGAACTTTTAGTCCAAGGGCTTTAAACCCATTCCTCATTCCAACTTCTCAACAACTATTTGCTTACCCTCG